AACCCAAACCCAAACCCAAACCCAAACCCAAACCCAAACCCAACCCCAAACCCAAACCCAAACCCACAAGTGGTGAAAACCACGGCTACGACCTTTATTCCCATTAGGAGATTAGGCTTGATTAATTTTTTTCATTAAAAAATTTCTATTATCAATAGAATTTTACATTTATTTATATTGATGGAAAAACTTAAAGTTTAAAATGTTGCAAAAGATAAATAATCAATTAGAAAGTGTAAATTAATTTTTATTTGAGAAATTTTAAGTGAGTTGTTGAGTTTGCTCCATCACACTTAATTGGAAAATAATAATTGTCTTATTTTAGATAACCCAACAATCCATAAGCGATGGAGAATCAAACAATTAGTAAAACTTTGTAATCATATATTTCTGCCCTTAGAGTCCATAATTAAATTCTGAAGAGTTTCTTTGGCTTTAGGTGAATGAGTAGTTGAGGAGAAATAACTTTTATTAATTAGTCAAGAATTTCATCAAATACTACTTATTTGAAATATCTTAATAATAAATGTAACTAATAGAAAATAAATATTGATTTTGAGTGAACAATCTAATATTTATAAATGAAAATCTGATTGTTACAAATTAAAAAAAATACTAAATATAATTTCAATTCATTTTATATGATAAAACTTATTAAAGATACTAAATAAATTATTAAATGATCTTCAAATTGTAAAAAGCATAATAATAAGTTAATAATCTTAATAATAAACATAAATATCTTAGATTATGTAAACAGTGGAATTATTGCCTATAAACCATGGATGATATCTTGATATTTGCTTAAAGTTTGTGTTCTTTCTTCTAAAAGCTTTTGAAAGAAAACAATAAATAATATATTATTTTAAAAAACGATTTTAAAGACCTTTATATGTATGTGCCATGTTATAGAGTTTGTCAAAAAATAGCTGATAGTGTAGTTGATCTAAATGTAACTAGACGTAGATTTTCAACGGTTTTTTAACTGATAAATTTGATTAGAATTTAAAATGATCCTAATTCCCAGCCAAAAAAATTTAGAACTATTTTAAGACTTTACTTTAAATAATAGATGTTAATTAGTGTCCAACTCTAAAGAAATTTTTGAAAACAGGATAATAAAAACATATAAAAGATCAAACTTAATCATTAAAGAAGGCCTTATCAACTAAAAAAAGATATCGAACGAAGTGCATCAAAAAAAAAAAATCTAACAGCAAAAATATATTGATAATGAGAGGAAAATTAATTCCTAAAGTTACAAGTTCTTAGAGAATGATTGATTATACTACTTATGAATGGAAAAATAGGGAGATTTCATTAACTTTTTATGATGTAAACTCAAATATAAAACCATTCACCAAAGAAAATAATATTATTATGCCAGTATAATTAGAAATCTCTGGATTAATCATTTCTGCTTATCCTAGATTTATATAGTACATAAATTTGCTTCGGATACAGTAAAGGTTGTAGATGGTTCTAAATTAGAATTTTCTACATTATGGATAAAAACAAATGAGACTATACTTATGCCAAAATTAGGAGAAGTATTGGCTTAAATTGGATCCATTGTTAATATTATTATGCTATTGAAAATACTCTCCAATATGATTAATACAGCTATGTTTTAGAGGACGATATTGCATCAAATAATTGAAATTTCTTATCCATAATTTAAGGTAGTCTATATTACCAAGAATTTTTTAGGTTAGGTTAAATAAATGCATTGTAACGATGTTGAAATCAAATTGGCTAATTTTTAGCATAAATACAAATAACTATTAGAAATTGCAAGTAAGAAATTCGCTTTCAATAATCTTATTAAAGAAATATCCTGTGTTTAATTGATTTTAATAATTAGATAGAAATTTATAATATTAAAAATATATTTAAGATACAAGAGGATCTGAAATTCTTTGAGAGTGAATTATCTAATTCTAATCATCAGATATAGAATTTAGTTTCCATATTACCTGGAGACTTACCAAAACAATAAGAATTTGAAAGGTTTGAATTGTTTAATTCAGAATTTCCATTATGACTGTGATTGAAATACTTAAATATTATAAATCAAGCGTCAGTTATAAAAGTGTAAATGTTAACATTTGACAAATATTCATTCTTGGCCTAACTTGTTTAAAATTATGGATCATCTCTATGTGGAACATGAGTAAGAAATGAGGAGTGGACTACTAGTTACAATCCAATTACAGAAGAAATCATAGCAAAGGTCAAATTAGGAACAGTCTAATAATAAGAATAAGGAATATAAGAGATTTTGAAGATTAAGAATAAGAGGGCAGAAGTATTTGAATTCTTTAAATTAGTTACATATTATTAGAAGAGGTTATATCGTAGGATAAATAGATGAGTTTACAGAATAAAATGAAGCCTTAGAAAGCTAATTTCTTTGGAGATAGTTAAAATAAAATCTGAAGTTTGGGGGGAAGTTTTAGAAATTATAGGCATTTGTGATATGGCCTGTGTATTATCGACATCCTTATATGGATTGGCAATCCCATCAGAGAGACCATCACATGTAATGATGGAATAATGGAATCCCTTGGGTGTTTTAGGCAGTACTACAGCATTTACAGTTGCAGTTTTGGGAGGAATTTAGCGCTTATTATTATTTATAATGATTTTTGTGTTTGAAAAGGAGCACCTTCAACAAATTTATCATTAATTGCTTGTACCAATATCATTAATGAAGTTTAAATACATTAAATTGTAATATTTTTAGAATAGATCTATTAATTAATTTATATTTAATTCTTAATAATTTAAGGATCGCATTTATAAATCCATATAATATTTAGGATAAAAATTATTGTTACAAAGAACTTCCATTAATCATTAAGACAAACTTAATTATTAAATGCAAAATGATTATATAATTGAGTATTATTCCTTGAAATGGGTTACTTAATTATAAAAGTAAAAAAAAAAGTCTATAGGAAATAAAAAAGACTTAATTCTTTGAAATGTCTTATTTTATTTGTTCTTACTCTCAACTCTAGTAGGCAGTAAACAGAAAAGAAAGTTCGAAATGTATGCAAATATTAATTGATCCAAAAAGGGAACTAAATAGTTAAAAGGAATTGGATTTAAATTTAAATAAAACTTCCTATCTATTCTAAGCCGCTTATGGTTTTTTATTTTAGATGTAGCATATGATAACTAAATTATTTATAGAAGATAATATAATTAATATGAGATTAAAAAGTTTTTGCTAAAATTAATTAAACTATCAGCAAAATAAATGTAAAAAAAAATCATGAAGCTTACAGAAAAATAACATAAAATATAAAGAAAAACATGGTATCTAAATGAGTTGATGGAAATCAGAAATTTAACACATTTATTAACGAGATAAATATATGTAAAATATATGAAAATTACATCAATAGATTAAGCTAAGAGTACATTTGAAAAGGTAAATCTAATGATAATAATTTCTCTATTTCATTGTGAAACATAAAAAATTTATTATAACATTTTGCTTTAAATTTCATTTTCATTATAATGATATAAGTTGGATTATTTTTTCCATAATATCATTTTATAATGGATGATTATGTGTTAGAGCTATTTAATAATGTTTTATGGCTTAAAAGAATTGGTTTAATTTTATA